ATTATTATTTTAATTTTAATATATTTAGCTATTTTAGTAGTAAGAGGTACCATCTTGCTTCTTTGGCTTTTCCCTTTCCATGTTATTATTATCAGTTTTGCTGCCATATGCAAAATTGGAAGAAGGCAATGATTTCTTTATAGAATCATAGTCTTTAAGCTAGAATCCTTAGGGATCGTCTGGTCAGACCCCTCAATTTACCATATGATTAGATAAAAACCCAGTGAGATTCAAATTGCTCAAGATTTTGCAGCTAGGAAGTGGCAGGGCTAAAATTTGAGACCAAAATTCCGGACCTTTCCACTGGGCACACTGCCTCTCCGGTGCAAATTCTATTTGAATGCTAATGACATATCTCTCCGTCCTTGACGTTTAGGCTGGGCAGTATAAAACTTAGGCTTAAAATATTACTAATTCTTACTAAATAAATTAGTCAACAAAGTGAATTCTCATGAAAGAAAATTGACTATATCTGAATACGTTGCACCAAACTCTAAGGCACCTATCATGCACTCCTTGGAACTGGCTTATGTTATAAAGTCTGAGGTAGATGTCTTAAGTCCAGTAATTCACATTTGTCGGTGATTAAGCCCTCTGAGGACCTGAATCACCATGCTCTTGAATTCTTCTCACTGTAAATTCAGTCTCATTGCTATTGAATATTGATGCCGTGCTTACTTTTTTTTTTTAAGATTTTATTTATTTATTTGACAGAGAGAGACACAGCGAGAGAGGGAACACAAGCAGGGGGAGTGGGAGAGGGAGAAGCAGGCTTCCCGCTGAGCAGGGAGCCCGATGCGGGGCTCGATCCCAGGACCCTGGGATCATGACCTGAGCCGAAGGCAGACGCTTAACGACTGAGCCACCCAGGCGCCCTGTGCTTACTTTTCCAAACCAAATCAGCGCTCAAACTTTACAGCTGAAGAATGGCGTATTTTTAGCCCATCGTCTTTATCATTGTTATTTTCTATCTTTCATGATTTTATAAAATGTGCCAACAGTTGTTAACCCAAGTCTCAGGCTTTATCAGTCTGCAACAACAATATTAAGTCACACTTCTGTCTCACACCCAAAGCATGTCATGAGCTCAAGTCAGCAAAACTGCTGGAAACTGACCCTCCTCAAACTGTTTTTTCAGCTATTTCTGAGGTCCCCAGCATAATGCCTCATAAGTACCCCGGAGTGGTCACCATCTTTTATCCCTGCCTCTTGGTCTTTCTTCTGGACAGTAATGCTGCTGGGCACTGCTGTCCTCCCTTGGTGACCGTAATTGATCTACCCCTACTGTGGTCTCAAAGCAAGGTTAGTCCTTCTCCAAATTCCTCATATCTAAACTGTGATGAAACTGTACTTTTAAAAAGCCACGTCAGGGACACCTGGATGGCTTGGTTGGTTAAGCATCCTACTCTTGATTTCAGTTC